CATGTTCAAGTGTTAAACATATCCTATTTGACTTGTTCCACGAGAATCTCTCTATATTTTTGCCATTAGTAGTGTTTCATATCTTAGTTGCAATCGCATAGTCCTAGTAATTATATACTCCTATTTGGGTACGTAACAGCAAAACATGCGATGCAAAGACGCCGTACGTGTGATAAGCTGGACCGACCACTGTCGCCATGAACCAATTAATTGTTTAAATTTATTATTTTTTTCTTGTCAAACAACAGTAATTATACAAAATCCACACAATTAGGACAAAATAAATCTACGCAATTATCAACTACCATTATAAAAGGAATCAAAAGAGAAAACAACTATGATTGGGAAAAGAATAACCACTTATTTTGTTGATGTCAACTGGTAAAGCAAGTAAAACGACAAAACACAAAAAGATAGTTGTTGTTTGATCGCTGTCCTTCTAAGTTTGTCATTTTATGTTTTTTCAATATTATTAGATGGATACTTGTGCATATGCAGTTTTGATTTAATCATTTTGTTACTAGCATTTAGTATTATTTAGTATTGACATTAACTTTGTTGGGGTTTTTTCAGCGTTGTTCGTTTTTTCTGGATGTAATGGTTTTTCGTCATATTAATTAGATTGAATAGTGTTTTCGGGTATTTTAATCGTACGAGCATTTTCATTTGTGGGTTCTCTCACTTAAGTATCTATCCAAAATATATATTTAACTGAGAGAAATCCACACAAAAGTCCACCGTATAAATTATATATACTAAGCATCAAACTAGTTTAGATCCAAAACTTGAATAAGGCACATGATTTTGGGAGCCTATAGGAACGTGAATATTCATTAATTCATGCATGGTGTATTCAAAGAATTAAACATAAGAGAGACTAGGGTAAAACTACTTACCTTTAGATCCTTTCCATATATACTAAATAGTAAATACTGAAGTTGAAGAAATAAAAAATAAAAAATACTCAAGCTATGTTATATTTTCCAACAAAGAATTTCATGATTTGGCATTTAATAAGGTATATGTACCGGGAAGATCGGCCTTGTAGGTGGAAGCAAATCCAGTATGGTCGAGGCGGTGGGTAAATGACGTCAAGTATTATATATACTGCGCAGTTGTACAAAATGGCAACTTGGCAAGGTATAATAATATGGATGAACGCTATATTCAGACAAATAAATACTTAAAAAAGAAAGAACTCTTAAGTATTTCAGTTTTGAACAAATTAAGGAAAATTTCGAAATAATGGTTTGTAGTAGCCCGGAGGGGAAACATTACCATTTTAGTCTAAACACTTCACAATATACTTGAAAACAAATTAGATTAAAAAAAAATGTAAAGTCGAAACCTAACCATAACCTATAAACAGATTAACTGATCTTTCTTTTAGTTTTTATCTTTTAACAAATTTCTGACTCTTGTGGTAACTCTATTGGATAATTGGACTCGTAAGTACAAATTGATCAACGACCATTACATTATACAAATGCTAATGATATGACCATCTCCTTTATTGTATGACTTTTGGAGATAAAAAGAATCTTTTTCAGATAAGAGTTTAGAGTAAAGTGAAAAGAAGTGTTTTTGGGTTGATTTTGATTCGATGATTAAAACAACACATGTCTTTTTATCTTTGCCTTCACGAGAATCATAACTACACTCACCGTCCTCACCGATCAAAAGTCCTCGTGTGTTAAGAAATTCATGTGAACCATTTTATCGCAAGTACGTATTATTCAGCAACTTATCCACAACGACACGTGTCGACCTTCTTACGTAGTTACGTTCTTCTGTATTTGATCGCCTTGGATTTGGTATAAGACCTAATTTAATCACGCCACATGCAACAATTAACTAAGCAAGGGTCCCAAAAATAAAAAGAAACACAAACTACTCTATTTATTTTGATAATAAACAGATAAAGTCCGTTTAGTAGATTAATATGTTTTACATATAAAACCAATTAAAATTCTCCAAAAAACATTCATATCCCTGTGGATCATTGGTGAGGTCGTGGAATTATGGCATCCTATCGTCGACAAATCTAAAACTAGAGTAACTTTTACTGTTACTTTTTAAATATGTCAAAGTAACCAATATCTTCTACGGAACTTATATCCAATTTGCATCCTTTTACTCATACTATACAAAATACAAGCGGATATAAACAACAAAATAAGAAAACTACACTTATCATAATCTGTAGAAACTTCAAACTGAATTAAAAAATGATCATTATATATATAGCGCGGAATATTCCGTGGTAAATAATTAAAAAGATCACTACTCTATTGGCTATAAATACACACACAAACCCAACAAGGCTATTTCATTATTCAAAAACCAAACACAGTTACACAAATAACAAAATGAAAATGAAGTTCTGGTCACGACCAACGTTTCTTATAATTATTATCTATCTCATAACAATTCAACGAGTCAACTCATCACCATCTTCATTATCTGTACCGGAGCATTTTCTCCGATGTCTCGATACTCAGCCGTCCGACCACGGCAGTCCCAACTCCATAACCGCCGTGATCCCCACAAACTCATCTTTCTCAACAAATCTAATGAATGGCGTCAGAAACCTCCGGTTCGCTTCTGCCTCCACAAGAAAACCAGAAGCCATCGTCGCCGCGGTCACCGAAACCCACATCAGAGCAACAATCTCCTGCTGCAAACTCTTAAACCTCGAGCTAAGAATCCGTAGCGGCGGCCACGACTACGAAGGCTTCTCCTACACTTCTCCGGTACCATTCGTAATCTTAGACATGTACAACTTCAACAAAATCGATATCAACATGAAAGACGAAACCGTTTGGATCCAATCCGGAGCTTCACTAGGTCAGCTTTACTACAACATTGCAAGCAAAAGCAAAGTCCACGCTTTTCCCGCCGGAGTTTGTCCTAAAGTCGGCGCCGGAGGACATTTTAGCGGCGGAGGATTCGGTAACCTCATGAGAAAATACGGTTTATCGATTGATCATATAATCGACGCTCAAATCATGGACGCCAATGGTAAAGTCTACCGTAACCGTCAAGCTATGGGAGAAGACGTTTTTTGGGCTATTCGCGGCGGAGGGGGCGGAAGTTTCGGTGTCATTCTTGCCTGGAAGATTAAGCTCGTTAGGGTTCCGGAGAAAGTCACAGTTTTTAAACTAGAAAGAACGGTGAGAGAAGGTGCCGTTGATTTAGTCCATAAATGGCAAGAAGTAGCTCCGGTTATCGACAGAGATTTGTTTATCCGGTTAGAGATTAAGCCGATAAACCGGAAAATCTCTAAAGGTAAGACGATCAAAGTCTCCTTCATAGGAATGTTTCTTGGTTTACCGGAGAGACTTCTTAACATAACGAAACAGAGTTTCCCAGAGCTACATTTAACGAAATCAGATTGTATGGTCAAGAAATGGATCGATTCTACGGTTTTCTGGGCGAATTACCCCGAAAAAGCACCGATAGAGATACTTAACAAAAGAGTATCAACCAATGAATACTACTGGAAACGTACTTCAGATTTTGTTCAAACACCAATCTCAAAACAGGGTCTTGCAAAGATTTTTCAAACAATGATTGATCATTCGCCACTTCCACGACGAGTTTGGATGCAATGGAATGCATGGGGAGGGAAAATGGGGGAGATTGCGTCTGATGCGACACCGTTTGTGCATAGAGGTGGTAACATTTTCATGATTGAGCATTTCATGAATTGGTATAGACCTGGAGATGAGCTTGAAGAGAAGTTCTTGGCGATTGCAAGAAGTTTTAAAGAGGCTATGGCTCCGTTTGTTTCCAAGAATCCTAGAGAAGCTTTCTTTAATTACCGAGACGTTGATATCGGAATTACTACGCCTGGATATAATGCGACGTATGAAGGAGCTAAGGTTTATGGGGACAGTTATTTCAAAGGGAATTATTTGAGATTGGTTAAGATTAAAGCCCGGTTCGACCGGACTAATTTTTTCCGCTCTCAGCAAGGGATTCCCGTTCTTGCTTAGTTTGGTGATTGGTGAGTGTTTGATTTTATTGTATTGTTGTGGGGGAGGGAGTATTAAGAAAGTTGAAATTTGGGATCCAATGAATCTATATATTGGGTCAATGGGCAGTTGATAATTCTGTGTTAATTAAATAATGGTTGGTTTCAATCTCCAAGAGAAGTCAAGTAATGAAATCTATAATAAAATGGAATTGTTCTTGTGTTAACATGCAAATCTCTAGTGATGAGTTTAAATGGTATATGCGGACCACGGCCGGAAACACCAACACCATACACATTTTAAACAAAACCAATAGGTGTAACCGTGTAAGATAGTGATTTATTAACGTTTTTCTTTTACTTTTGTAAGTTTATATTTTGGAGAAACTAGAAAGTGTATATATTGGCATTTGGGCCTATACTTTGTCAAAGCCAATATGCCCCAAAACGTCAAAATTAAAAATAGCATGCATATATTTTATTGGTAAACTGTACGGTGTAGATTCTTGTATTAGTAAATGGCTATTTCAGTATATGATAATTTGTTGTTAGAAGTTTATTTGCAAAAATGACGAATGACAGAATCGTATATAAATGGGCTCATTTATCTTGTCTAGTTTTTCTAAAATAAAATCTCCCTAAACACACCACACCACCTGTCTAAAAGTTTTACCACCGCAATTTTTTTGGGGTCAATTTACCACTAACAAGAGGACTAATATATTTTGTATGAATCTATATATGTAACATTTTTTTTGAGGAAATAACATAGAATGCCTGTATGACAGATGAACAAAATCATGGGTCCATTGGAAAAAGTGTTTTTAAGAAATCTTGGCGCAGAGTCACAGATGAACACGTGATATGATTTACATATTAAAAGCTTGAACAGGACATGGTCGACGAGTTGTTTCCAATAATTGTAATGGGGCCTAGATTTCATTCACAGTTTTTAACTATGATATCGACTTTTCGACTGGTCGGTCCAAACTGGTCCGATTTTTTGTGTTTTGTGATATGGTTAGTTACATTTGTTAGTTCAATATTTTACACGTGGGAAAAGTTCCGAGACATTCTCACCACAATTTGAAAAAAAATCTCGATTCCAACCAATCAAATGACCAATATCACAAGTCAAATGTTTGTTTACAAGGAAAAAAAAAAACACTTGCGAAGTTGCCATAGAAAAAGATAAAACACTTGAAGCCAAAATGTATATTTCATCTAACATACAAGTGGGTACTTGCATTTGTTCTTGTCCAACCTAGAACAAATATAGTATCATATACTAGCTGATGGTGTTGTTGCGGCCTTACAGGGACAATTGATTGTTAAGTAAACTTTTAAATTTTGTTACAAATTATTTTAGATCATAATGGAAAAATAGATTTAATAATATATTGAAAAAGAGATAAAGTATATGTTTAACCAAAGTTGCAAAACAAATGAGATATAATTTCTTACATATATATTAAATCTTGTTTTTGATTTATACTTGTCCATCAATATATAGAGGATACCTATTACAATAAAAAAACATTATTAGAAATCATAATAACGTATCACGTATTACATAAGACCCAAGTTCATAATCCACACAACATTAAATTCAAGCACAACAACATAACCACTGAACATTTGAAAGATAATACACAACATCAATTAAACTCGAGAACTCCAATATAAACCATGAGCATACGAACATAATTCTATAGGAACACGAGATTAGGGATCAAAGGTGGGTTCAACCTCTTCCACATTGGAGGCTCTTGTCTTTCGTTTTAGACAATGTAGCTTACATCCATCTGGAAGTGCATAGAATATGCCTCGTGAGATCTCATCTCTTGCAAGATGTTCTATAGATGCCCAATAAAGGGGACTCTTAACAACCATCCTGGCAACCTCCCCCACTCGATAAACAACAGTGCCCTCAGTCGATTGCTGGGATCGGTATAACTTTGAAGAAGTCTTTGTTCACTTATTTTATTTTATTTTTTTCCTTACAAAAAAAATTAATATATATATATATATATTATTAATAAACCATTACGAAAAGCCATGACAAAAAGTCATACAGTTTTTTAAGCAAGATACACGATACAACCCTTCGCCAATATTACATAAATATGATAACCGAATCTTCCGCTTCGGTTGGCTTTTAGAAGACTAGCCACGTCCACGGTTCCTGCGCCCACGATTTTCGCGTCTACGGTACCTCTTCCCCAAATATCAGAGGACACTTGTGTCTCCTTAGCTTTGATGGACGGCTTAACCGGTCTTTCGCGCAAAAGCCGTTGTCCATAAGGAGTCATTAGTTCCATCAATCTAGATCCACTGTCTGAATCAACTGAAACAATTGAGTCTCCATCTGAATTAAGAGAATCCCCATCAGAAAACGAAGTGCCCAAACGGCTAAACTTGTTTTTAGCAAGGACGTGTCGTATCTCACGGTCACTAAGAATTGCATTATCCTTTGTGCTTGCAATTTCATTAACTGATTCAACTGTGCAAATTGCCTCAGTTACAGCTTCAGCTTCAACATTTGTTTGGCAATCTGCCACTCTATTGCAATTATCTTTGTCTTGGATTGGGCCAGCCTCAATTTCTAGGGCTGCATCGATTTGGACTTATGAGTCTGCGGTAAGAACAACAATTGGGGGCTCAGATTGAAGAGTGATTGGCGAGACCAAATCTGTGGCGCTGGATAAACTTACAATAGCTGGAGTGATGACCTCTCTGAGACGATTTCTGTTACTCTTTCATGTGGCAAATGAGGTTTCATACAGCGAGAAGCCTTATGTCCTAACTGTCCACAATCTCCACAAGCAGTGGGACCCAAGAATATTCAACATTAACCATAGATATGTTTCCTTTTTTATCAGCGGCTGCAATCCGAGGAGGGAAAGCTTTACTCAACTCCACTTCCACCAAGACCTTGGCCTCACCCATTAGTGAAGGGTCAAGTCTAGGTAATAGTACGGTACCTTTATATGCCATGCAAAATCTGCATGGTTTATCAAAAACGAAAGATATTATTAATTTATAAAAGCATCCAACCTATCTTATTCTTATCAAAGTTAATGTGATAGAGTTTGTATGTCTTTGAAACATCCATAGCTCTACATATGGTTCCAGCCTATCATTTCAAATTCAAACATAGTACACAAAGTCAAACACAGCCTATCATCAATTAGGATAATAGAGCCCAACATTGGAATTGAAATCGGCCCGCTATAACCGATCCATGAAACTTAAGCATTCAACACATACCAGAGCTAGGTCTAAAGAGATGAAAATGTACGAGAAGCCATTGCTCTTTAGGTGAAAATAATCGTCTTTGGAGACGGTTTTCGACATGAAAATCAGATTAAAGCTAATAGGAATGGCCAAAGGAAGTTGATTAGACAAAGGAAATTTCAAGAGATTGCTTGGGACCCAAGAGTATCAACTTCAAATAAGACCGCTTCCTCAATTTGTTTCTTATGAGCTACACGGCAGCAGCAACAAGCGCATTTTGTGTTATGTCACACTTTTAAGGGTTTAAAGAGTTTCTCTTCTTTGCCCTCTGTTTTTCACTTGTGTTGTCTCATTCTTTGACTTCCCATCATTTTTGACTGATTTTCTACCTTCGGAAGAAAGTAAATTAAATGGGCTTCAAAGTGAAAGTAAATTAAATGGGCTTCAAAGTGATTGTAAGGGGCTCTCTATATCTCATTTAACGGCCCATTTAGCTCATATTCCAGCTCGTTTTACGTAGGTGACCTCGGTAAAGTTTACCAAGTTAAGTGGGTTAATAAACTTGGCGGCAAAGTCAAAGAATGAGGCACGTGGAACCACTAAACCAGATTTACCCGCCAAAGTCGCCGTCTTTTACCAAGTCCACCAGATAAAAAAGGAAATTTTTTTATAATTATCTTTCGTTGTGAAAAACGAAATTATTTATTTATGAAAAATGAAGGATTCGGAAGAAAAAATACGAGAGAGGCTATTGGTTAAAAAATGTAAGGGCTTAGGCCCAAACCAGAAAAAATGGAGAGGATGTTGCAGTTATTGAGTGAGATGAGTAACGGCAGACTGAGTAACTATGGGCTAATTATTCAATTATTATTTTCAATTAATTGATACGCATTAATTCTAAAAATAGCCGCCAAATAACTTTAAAGTGACAGTTACTCTTAAATTTGAACAAGAAAAGATATATAAGTATAATTTTGTTCAGCTAATTTTGACACGTATTCTTACAAGTTACAAGATACACTTCTTCCTATTTATACACAAAAAAAAAATATATATTTGATTATTTTTATGTTGGCGAGGAAACTGATTCATAAGAATGTTTATTAAAGCTAGATATTAATAAAAAAAATATAGTATATTTTAATAAAATATACTATAAATTATGTGCTACTTTTTAGGAGGTGGTTACAAAAAAAATGTAAAACACATAGTAACTGCTCCTTTATCTTCGCTAAAACCCTAACCTCTCTCACTCCGTCCCTTTCTCTCTCATATATAGGCGTAAGAGACAGTTAACAACTTTGAAGTCTACTTGAAAGTTGAAACAAAAAAGACACGACATTATCGACTTATCGTCTAAAATCAATCTCCAGGTCTTTCATTGATTCTCTCATAAATCCTCTCCTGTCTTTACTTTTGTTTTTTTACAAAAAATTTGTTTTTAGACGTCTAATATCTATAAGCTCGTTACTAGTAGTTAAAGCTTAATTAAGCTTAATAATCATCTATTAAAATACTCCGTAACTCCTCTCCTGATTGCTTCACCTTCTTCTTTACTTTTTTCTACAGGTTTCATCTCCTCAATCATGTCCATGGACTGCTTAAGCTACTTCTTTAACTACGATCCACCTGTCCAGCTCCGGGATTGCTTTATCCCCGAAATGGATATGATTATCCCTGAAACCGACAGTTTCCTCTTCCAATCTCTACCGCAACTGGAGTTTCATCAGCCATTGTTTCAAGAAGAAGCTCCTTCACAGACCCACTTTGACCCTTTTTGCGACCAGTTTCTTTCTCCCCAAGAAATCTTTCTCCCTAACCCTAAAACCGAAATCTTCAACGAAACACACGACCTAGATTTCTTACTCCCCACGCCAAAACGCCAGAAACTTGTTAACTCGAGCTACCATTGTAACAACACCCACAACCATTTCCAGAGCCATAACCCGAATTTCTTCGACCCTTTCGGCGACCTTGATTTTGTTCCAGAAGCTTCTACCTTCCCGGAGTTTCGAGTTCCGGATTTCTCTTTAGCGTTCAAGGTAGGCCGAGGAGATCAAGACGACACCAAGAAACCGACGCTTTCATCTCAGAGCATCGCGGCTCGAGAAAGGAGAAGAAGAATTGCGGAGAAGACTCACGAGCTCGGAAAACTCATCCCCGGTGGCCAGAAACTTAACACCGCCGAGATGTTTCAAGCCGCCGCTAAGTATGTCAAGTTCTTGCAGAGTCAAGTTGGGATTCTCCAACTGATGCAGACCACGAAGAAGGTAATAACCAACCCCAAATAAGAATCATATTATCCAATTGAATCTCTAATCGCGTTTTCTCACAAGCTGGTTAATTTGCTTACGCAGGGTAGCTCTAATGTGCAAATGGAAACTCGGTTTTTGCTTGAATCGCAAGCAGTCCAGGAGAAGCTATCAACAGAGGAAGTGTGTTTGGTACCGTGTGAAATGGTTCAAGATCTAACAACTGAAGAAACCATTTGGAAAAACCCTAATATTTCTCGAGAGATCAACAAGTTACTGTCTAAAGATCTGGCTAACTAGTTTTAGTTTCAAGCCTGAAGTTCTCTATGCCTAAACCTGTGTCTGTTCTTGTTGTTTTGAGTTCTTAGTTAGTTTTTTTGTCTTTTGTTGATTTAATGGCTAATTGTCCTGGTTAATCTCCTCTTAACTGGGAACTAATACTTTGTCTGTATTAGTCTATGTATTAGCTTTAGTCTGACAATTTTCTTGTTAGTTAATGACTTAATGTATGTCCGCATGTTGAAGCTTTTTTTTTACATTAAAGATATCTTTGTGTAAAATCAAGCTTTTTATCCGTAACAATTTTGGGGCTTTATTGCTTTGTGGGTTTTACAAATTCAAAGCCCGAACAATCAGATTAAACAAACTCTCCGGTTTGCCCGATCGGAAAGGGACCCTTGATTTTCCGAATTTAATATGGATTGAACATCTTACACGTTATCTTATTTGCTTAGAACAAATTAAACAAACAATAACAACTTTATTTTAAATCTAGTTAGTCACAGTTGCAATTGTAAACATACTTTTTTTTTGTTTTGAATTAATTTTACATTCGATTCAAAAAAAACCCCAATAAATTTCATTGTTAAAAGTATGTTTGGTGTGTGAAAATAAAATTTTCTATTTTTTTAATAAAAATATATTATATGGATATTAAACTTTTGTTTTATTTATTGGACTATATATTATATCTATTTTTATATAACTATAATTAACTTAAAAACATTTCTCTCTATATTTTTACCATAAATATATTTAAATTTTTGATTTTTTAATGTAATTTTTTTTTTTTCATTTTCTTATGATTTGTTTTGATCATTTATTCAATGGCAGTTAACATTTCGATCATTTTCACTATTTTTACACAAAATTAATAAGTATGGTTTACCAAACAATTCGCAAACTCGATAAAACATTAAATGGTTACAAATAACTAAACTCATTCAAAACATTCTTTATTTAGCAACAAATCCACACTATCTATTAGTGTAAATGTTCAATGAAAAAAAAAGAAGTAAAACAATTATCCAATAAAAAATGGTTATATCCAAAAAAACAATTATGCAATCATTCGCTCTTATAATTATTATATCTATCGTCATGAGCACAACAGAAGCAAAAACCATAGGCAATCCAGCTATGCGAGAAGATGAACCTAAAGGTTGTGCCCCTGGGTCCCCATCAGGTTGCAAAATGCAACCGGCTAATCCATATAAACCAGGTTGCGAAGCTAGTCAAAGATGCCGTGGTGGTTGATAGTATGACACTACAAGAAAACATCTCCTACCAAGCTAGTCAACCGGCTTTTTCTACCAAATTTCCTACCAAATATTTGGTAGGAATCATTTCCTACCAAATTCATACGCATTTGTTACGAAAGATATATTTCGTAGGAAATTCGAATGAAATTTCCTACGATAAAAGTCGTAAGAAGTTCGTAGGAAATTTCCTACGAAAATTCTACGAAAAAAAATGTCGTAGGAAATTTCGTAAGAAAGTGGAATGAAAGGTATATGAAAAAATTGGTAGGAAATTCGAATGTATATATCTTTCCAATTTCCTACAAACAAGACTTCGTAGGAAATCGCGTAGGAAATGAGAAGGAAAATTATGGGAAACTAATTGATTTTTTTTTGCCTAAAAGCATATCCTTGACTATAGCAACAACACTTTCCCAGCCGAAAGCTAGAAACATTGATCCCCATATTCAAAAGATTTGTAAATCTATCGCTTCAAGGGCTTCTCTAGCTTAATTTTAGAGTTGAATCGTTCTTAGTGTCAATAATTCACAAAATATAGGTTATATCGAAGAAATATCGGATCTTGCTGAGTAGTACAAGTAATTGGATATTGAAATCAGTCTCTCTGGATTCGCCGTCCGTTCGCCGTTTAAAGTCGTCACGACAAAGAGAAAGGCGTCAATGTTCAAGTCTACCTTCGATGCAGGTTAAGTCAAATCCATTATCAAATTGAATTTAGGTTTTGCTTTCGCTTTTGGGTCTAATCCCACCTTTTGATTTGATTACAAGTTTTATGTTCAAATTGATTTAGGTTTTGGTTTTGCTACTATGTGAATCACTTTGTTATTGCTTTTCTGAATTTCTGGGTATTTATTGTTTTGACAGACCATTTAGCGATGATGAATTGAGAAGCAATGCTCCTCAAGTTCATGAAAAGATACATAAAGCAACTAAGCCCTAAGTTGGACTCGGAAAAGCAAGAGCTGTTCAAGAAACACATTAAGAGTGCCACCAAATCCTTGATGTCAAAGCTTAGAGACTTCCAATTGTAAGCTCTTCTCTTTTATCTTTTTTCTTTCTTCAATGTGTTTTGAGTGAATTTTGTCTAATTGGTGATTATTTCAACGAATGTGACAATTTTGTGGGAGAGAGCATGGAAGGAGAAGAAGGGAGCTTAGTGTTGGCTTACTACAGAGAAGCTGCCACTAATCCTACTTTTCTCTACTTAGCCTACGGCTTGAAAGAGATCAAGTGCTGAATATTTTTCCTCTCTTTATTTTCTACTTCAAAGCTACAGACTAATGTAATGATTAGTCTCATTCTATTGTCTATTTACCTTTCGTACCATAAATTGCAGAAGAAAAGTGGTGGGAATGTCAAGTTACAGTCCATTGTGATGCCTCGCTTGGAGTTTGAACATGTTGCAAAGTAGATCCTCTATATGGTAAGCTCAAAAGTTGATACCACTTTTTATCTATTAATTACATGAACTAAATCATATACTAATTGTTTTTTCATGTGTGGCAATTTTGCAATCATTAATCTTCTTATTTTCTTTTCGAATATTATTATTCTTTTATGTGTTTACTTGGTTTGATATGGGCAATCAAGCTTTAATTTTTTTATTTATGCTAGGTTGTATGTGAATTTGACTGGGAGTTGTACAAACTGAAGGTGTGCATTAGGCTATTTCTGTAACCACAAAACTTAAATTCACTTTTTCATTTGGTTCAAGAGAGTTCAAATTTGTATCATTGTCTCTTAAATCAAGGTTTGGTTTTTGTGCATCTATTTCAGCATTTTGTTGATAAAGTGACTGAAGAGGGAGAATCATCTAAGGAACAAAAGAGTGAATCCAAAGTAAGTTTGAACTGTAACACAATTTTCAGTTCATGACGCTACACTATATCTCTAATTACCATTGTTTATTTCTTTGTTCTTGGGTTTCAGATTATAGTCGTGTGCAGATGCAACAGGTTGCAGAGACGGTGAGAAGAAGATAGCTCAAATGAGAGTCTTGGAGATGACGATATTCAGTATAATCATCACATGAAGGGCTTACCATCGGGTCGTAATGGTTGTGGGAGAGGACACAGAACGTTTAGGAATGGTCATTTCAACACCAGTGGTGGTAATTAATTACGGTGCTAATGGTTATAGCGTTGAGAGGATGGAAAGCTCCAGCTGTGGAGAATCCATTGCATGTGAGTTTGGAGGATCTGTATAAAGGTGTGAAGAAGAAGATGTGTTTATCTAGATGAAGACGACGAACACGAGCGTAGATGACGATGACGACGAGATTCAAGAGTAGATCGATTAGGTTTGAATCTTTACCTTAAAATGGCTTGTACAATGAATATGGCTTGGTATGAATTTTAATTGGTATGGAGTTCAATTTGTATGAATTTCTTTTGAATTTTAAATTTATTTTTTTCAAAAAACTAAAATTTGTAACAAATAAATATAATTAATTTTATTAAAATTTTCTCTGAAACTTTGAAGGATAATGGTAGGGATTTGGTAGGAAGCGTATCGTAGGAAACTGGTAAGAAATGTTTAGTAGGTAATTGGTGAGAAATATTTCGTAGGAAAGTTGAAGGACTAAATTTCCTACGAAAATTTGGTAGGATAATGGTGAAAAACGTCCTACCAATTTTCTACGAAATTTCCTACGCGATTTCCTACGAACAAATTTCGTAGGAAATTCCCTACGAATTTCCTACCAAATTCTATTTCCTACGGGCGATTCCCTTCAAATATTTTTCGTAGGAAATTTGTAGGAAACGTCTATTTCCTACCAATCTCCTACGATTTTGGCCGTAGGGAAACGCTGCATTTCTTGTAGTGTGAGATATTTTTTTATATAAATAAAAATAATAATGTTACACAAATAAGAGTGAATTTTCCAACTAATTTTGTAAACTATAAAATACAAAAATTTTGTAACTATTTTTATGAGAATAAAACTATTTTTGAGTAGCTATGCCTAAATTTGTGTCTATTCTCGTTGTTTTTAGTTCTTAGTTAGTGTTTTGTCTTGTTGATTTTGTGACTAATTATCCTGGTTAATCTCCTCTTAACTGGGAACTTAATACTTTGTCTGTATTAGCTTTAGTCTGACATTTTTTTTTTTGTTACTTAATATATGTCTGCATGTTGAAGCTTTTACATTAAAGGAAATCATTGTGGAAAATCAAGTTTTACCCATACAAGTTTGGGGCTTTATTGCTTTGTGGGTTGAACAAATTCAAAGTCTGAAGAATCAGAAACAAACTCTCCGATTTGCACGATCGGAAATGGGCCATTGAGTGATCGATGTCTTAATTTTTGGGATTTTCGAAATTAATATTTATATTTATCATGGTTTTAGCCTTTTAGGTACGGGACAAGAAAAAACAGATTAGCTTAATATAATTGGAAACACCAATTTTTGGAGATAATATTATTCGCTTCTAAAAATTGAGGTGAGTCAGTGAGTGGTAAGGATCGTGGGATATATCTTGGGGGAGATATAGTTGTACTCTGATATTGATTTTCATTGTCTCTTAAAGTTTATTAAATCTAAAAATATCCATAAACGACTCACCTAATGAGTTAATGTACTATTCAAGTTTCAAACCAAGCAAAAAGAAAACTTCGGTTATTTCGAACATAACAAAGTTGTTTTAGGTGAAAGAAAAAACTTATGATTTTGTTTAAATAATATTTGAAGACGAATACATAAAACGTCTTTAACTTATACAACCAGTCTCAAACTAGAAAAAAGTACATAAAATTCAGAAATAGTAGAGTGGGGTTCTTTTCTAGTAAAAGTTTACCCGGAACCGAATAACCGAACTGAAAAACCCGAAAAAATATTCGAACCGAACCCGAACCGATTTTTAAAAATACCCGAATGGGTCCTACACCTCCTGCCCGAAAAAAACCTGAATCGATCCCGAACCGAATCCAATACCCGTGAGTACCCGAATACAAATATACACCTAAAAATATTAGTTATATTAATATTTATAATACCCGAAACACCTAAAATTACAATCATAAATCCGAATATATTGGGTATTTTTGAGTAATTTGGATACATTTGGATATATTTGGTTAAAAAGTAGCTAATGATGTAGTTTTCTTTTGGGTAATTTTAGTATTTTTAGATATTTTTGGTTATATTTGGGTAAAGAGTAACCAATGTATTTTCGAGAAATCGGGTATTTCGGTTAGATTTGGGTATATATGAGTTAAAAACCCGAACCCGACCCGACCCAAAAAGATTTTGGGTATTTTGTTTTTTTTATTAAAATACCAGAACCGATCCGAATCCGAACCGAATTTTTAGAATAAATGAATGGGTCTCGAACCCCTACCCGAATAGACCTGATACCCGAAAAAAAAGAACCGAACGGGTTCGGGTACCCGAATGTCCAGGCCTATATGTTTAATGGAAGAATTTATCGTCACGGTCTCATAAAGAGAGTTCATTATTATTATTCTAAAGAATAAGAGGGGTGTATTGAATTAAATATTTGGAGGGGTTTGGTGGAATTTCTATATTTTAGGTTTTGGAGTGATTTGAGTAAAAGTTTAGGATAGTTGGGTTGATTTGTTTGATTTTTTTTTTTTTAAAGAAAAATAATTAGTGATTTGGTGAGATTTATTGAAAGGATTTGGGAGAATTTAGTGAAAAAAAAAAAGAAATCAACCACATTCCTTTTTTTTAATAATTATGTTTTTCTCTTTTGTTATCCTCTCTTTTGCCAAACGTACTGTGTGTCACATAACTCACATTTTTTTGGACGTAACTCTACCTCTGGATTCAATTTAGTGATCAATCAATAACCAATAGTCTCGTCTCAACAAGTCAATATAAATAATAAAAAACAATCTAAAGATATAACATAAAACGTATAGCATCATGATTCCATATTCATAGCATCTGTCCACATGTTCTCTGCTATTGTTGCTCTCCAATTATTAGCAAGTACTCTTTGTTGTTCTTGAGTACCGTGAACCTCTTCATACCCATTATTTTCATCAACACCATTTTCTTCGAGAACGTCTTCTTCAGGAAGAAACACGTCTGAACGACATTCCTTACGAAGATAATTATGTAAAACAGCACATGCAAGTACTAACTCTGCTTGCGTCTTATATGGAAAGGGAGGTGCAGATTTGAAGATGAGAAATCTTGATTTGAAGATGCCAAAAATCCTCTCTATTACGTTTCGCAAGCTGGAATGACGATGGTTGAACAATTCATTTTGATTGATGGGATCTTTACCTTGTCCTCTAAAGTCTTGTAGATATATCGAGTACTATGAAATGGAGCTAAAAATTACGACGATTGGCAAATCCACAGTCAACTAAATAAAATTTTCTTGAAATATAAAACATACAAATATAAGTAGAATAAAATATAAAAGAGTTTGCCCACTATGTTTATTTATTAATGAAATATTATAAATTGTATAAATAAACTTTATAAGTATACGTAGGCGTAATATTTACTACTCTGAAGTTTTTGGATTGAAGACGAAGCACAAAAATCAAAAGCTACAGTTCTAGAATTAACAAAAATCATGGTTTAATCTGGAATCAAGAAGAGAGATAGCAATGAGAATCGATCATAAACATGAGGATTGGATTCGTCATTGTTGTTACAAGTGGATTCGATCGGATACTTGAGAATGTTTGATATGAGAGAGTGAGAGAGAACTTGAAAGTAAAATCTAGATAGAGAGAGAAAGAAAGACAAGAAGAAAGAGAGAAAATTGAAAGAGATAGAAAGATGAGAAGGAAGAGAAAAAATTGAACCAGTCGTGAGTATGCTTTTTTGGACTTTCTTTTTAACCAAATACTATTGTTTTGTTATTATTTTTGCACTAAAAAGGTGTCCAAAGTCTCTCCAAATCTATTTTCAGTATTTTTCTTAAAATTTTTTGTGAAGTTTGAATAACAGTGGATTTGCTTTGGTTTTTATAAACTCTTAATTGAATAACAAGAGATTTGGAATTATTTGAAGTGATTTTATATAAATTCCTGTTTCAATAACATGGAATTTGGGAAGAGATTTTTAAATCACTAATTAAATAACATGTGATTTTAACCAAAAAAAAAAACCAAAAATTTTAAAAATCACTATTTGAATACACCCCCCTAAATGTTTTATCAATATTGACATACCTAATATTCTCCTACCACTTTATTTCTACACCATAAATTTATTTTATACTTCATCTGTGCAATAAAGTTTGATGTTGTGAGTTTTTCACACAAATAAAAAAGTAATTTTTATACTTTTATTATTATTTTGTTTGTTTAATAATATTAATTTTATTTCTTTATCCTTTCTATTAGTTACAAATAAAAATAAAAATAATATTAATATAAAACATAGGAAAAAAAAACCCCACAACATCAATTTCATATAAAAAAGGAAGTACTTATTTGGAGGGATTATTAGCCAACCATCATTATCACCAGCTTATTCTCCTTAGTAGGATTTAAGGTTATACCGAAGCTAGTCTAAAAAGCTTATCGATGGGACTTACTACCATATTTTATCATGTTATTACTAAAAATCAATTATACAGTATAATTAATAAATGTCCCACAGTTATACCCCAAATAAAAATACAGTAAACATTTTCATTAATCTAAAATAAAGGTGACGTCAAATAGTAGCATCCATAAGCCTATTTGCCCACCAAAAACCTCTCGTTCTCTATGTCCCATCGTGAGAGGATAAAAAATTAAAAACCATTGAAAAGTAAACCTTATGATAATTAAACGAGCTTATATCCAAAATAGGCATTAAAAAAAGAATTCTTTCAAAAAGAGGCACTTTGCATAGTAGAATGGTACAGTGTCGAAATTGTTGCCAAACCTGGACGCTTTTAACCTTAGCCAAGGAGCGGGAAAGTTCACTCTTCATTCGCAAGTGGGTTGATGATGTCAGCACATATTAGTAAATTATTTACGGTAAAAATATTTTATTTGTGGAGAAGATTAATTATGTACTGTACGGCCCGGTTAATGATGTTAATTTGTGGACAAGATTCAGTCTACGACAAGTGGTTTCTCCATCTAGGGTTTATGAGATTTGCATAAATAAATCTCTACTTAAGAAGTGTTGAGACGAAGTAGTTGGAGGAAACAAAAGCAGAAGGCTATGAAGGCAGGGAATAATCGGAAGGAGATCATGTCCAGACAAAACCAGGTTAGCAGTGTTGCTGTGTTTTACTATAATTAGTTATACATTGCTTTTCGAGTACGAAAGAACGAGTTAATGCGTAGAGGGGAAAGTGAAGTATTCTTGCCGGGTGTAGAATAAATAGGGAACAACGATTATAGTTGGTAAATGTTTTAGAATAATAAGCTGTAGCTGTAGGTGGTAGACGTTAAGACGTGAACCAGAAATTA